GGTCACGTGATATAAAATTTTATTGCATTTTTGAGCATAACTTACAAATTCTGAGTTTTGGTGATTTTCCCAAAATTTGCCACGAGGCGCAGCAAGTTGCGGGACTAGGTGACTTGCACCATACAGTGTGACAAAAATACTTAACTATTTATGGACTAAATTAGGCGATAAGTAAACATTGCCAATTTTGGTTCGATTTACTTGATATTTTACCTTGTTAACGTGCAAATAGCAACTTTATTACTACACCTGTTAAATAATAAAATTATAAGTAAACTTTTGAAAATTCATTGTCAAGAATGTCATCAACTGTTCGCGAACAAAAGATGCATAGTCTATTACATTATTGGAACAAAGGCATCTGCTCTGTGCCTGAATTAACAAAGCTTACCAAGCTACCCATCTCAACTGTACAATACAATGTTGAAAAGCTCAAAAAAACTGGTACTTTGGAGCATAAAGATGGCAATGGTCATCCGAAGAAAATAACACCCAATGTAGCAAAAACTGTCAGCCAATATGTTCGTCGAAATACATCAGTGTCATTGTGTTCTCTTGCCATTAAACTTGATAACAATGGTATTGATATATCTTATTGTACAATTGGCAGACATTTAAGTCTCTAGGATATAAAAAAAAACCTTCCTTTAGCCACGCCAATGTTAAAAAAGACCCATAAGCAAAATCGCATTGAATGGGCTAAGTGTCACCTTAATGACAACTGGAAAAAAACATTATTTACTGATGAGACAGCATTTCAGTTGTTTCAGAATACAATTGAATGTTAGTATAAAGATAAACATCCAGTTCGTCATATGCCAAAAGATTGTAGAAAAATTTTTGCTTAGGGAGGTTTTTGCACAAAGGGGTTGACATCTTTATTTTGCTTCCAGCAGATAATGGATGGTGAATTTTATGTCAAAATACTTGAAAATCATCTTGGTGAAGTTAATAAAATGCTTGGAAAGAATTGGCGCTTTCAACAAGAAAATGATCCCAAGCACACAAGTCGAGTAGCTAAAACATTTCTTGTTGATAATTTGCCCAAGGTTATGGATTTGCCCTCTTGTAGTCCCATCCTTAACCCTATAGAAAACTTATGGGCCATTGTTAAACACAATCATTAACAATGAATGCCCCAAAATTTAGATGATTTGGAGAAGTTTTTGACAGAGGAATGAAATTCTATTCCAAATTCAGTTTTAAATAATTTAGTAAATTCAATGAAATGCCATTGTGAGTTGGTTATTGAAAGTAATGGTGAATGAATCGATTTTTAAGTCTAATAAAGTTTGTTCAATAACTTTTTTGTTTTTAAATGGTATATTTATCATTGTGTTTGGTGTGACTTTTATGAATCTATGACGAATTTCATAAAGTTAAGTTTTTTTGTCACACACTGTATATATCTATTATGAATTGTGATCGGCAAAAATTTTCAATAGTCACGTTACACGAATCAAAAG